GGGTGACAGAGCAAGACCCTCTCAAAAAAACCCAACCAAACAAACAAAAAAACCATTAGCTTCCAGCTGAGGTAGGAGGAAAAAAAACAATAATAATTCCAGTCTAATGTTACAGAGTAATGATTGTGAAGACAATGCCCAGCGAAGCCCAAGTAACGCTATGGAAAGTGCAAAAAGCAGGATGTTAACTTGCACCTCCCCGTGTTCTTAATAAAATCAAAATGTGTCTGTCTGTGGGCAGGAGGAAAATGAAAGTACAGGACATGAAAACATTGTGTTTACAAAAAGTGCAGCATGTGGAAACACTGTTTACAAACTGTAATATTATATCGTCTCATAATTAAAAAGATGTATTGAAAAAATAGGTATGTTGAATGTATCACATTCAAAGATGCAAATATAGTCTCCTACAAATCAGAATTACCTGGAATCTCTTACTAATGCAATCATGGAAACAGGGAAACGAGAACTCGAGCATCAATCAATAAATATTTGATTGTCTGCTGTGTACAGACAGCGCCAGGAGCTACAAATAGAGGAACACGTGAGCTCAGCACCAACGGGACACGCATTCACATCGTGTGCGGTTAACTACCAAATACTACAAAACTCATTAGTACTGTTCTAGACGTATAATCTAATTGGCGTGGGCTCTCAGAGGAAGGAGGAAGGGAGAAGTAACAAGATTTCAAAGGAGAGGCGGTATTGTGTCATCTCTTTGAAGTACGACTACAGGGAGAGGTGTGTGTGTGTGTGTGTGTGTGTGTGTGTGTGTGCGTGTGTAAATGGACTTCTCTACTCTCCTACAGTTATGTCTCTTCTTTTTCAGCCCCATCTGTTCCTAGACACGGTGATTAACTCTTTCTATATATTATCTCATTTTAATCTCACGATTGACCTATGGATTGTAAAATTATTCTCATTTTTTATGGATACAAAAACTCCCTTTAACACATTTATAAATCTGAATCTAAGAGCCTCTCTCCTTAAGTTCGGGAACACCCAAAACTGAGGCATCAGGGTGCTCTGCCTGTATCCTGCGTGGGACAGAGTGAAATAAATTTGACATTAGCTAGTTTTAGCCTCTATGCAATTTTGGGTTCACAACAGGCTATTAGTTCTTCTGGCATTTTTAAAAAAGCAGTTAGCTTTTATTCATCAGCGTGCCGGATCTCTTTGTGCAGTGATTTAGATGGGGAGGTAAGCTTGCTAATTAATGTACCTTTTAAAAGACCTTCCCAAGCAGCAGAGAAAATTAAGTTCAGGAAAGAATTTAGTCCAATAGCCAGTCACATGCCATTCTTTATAGCATACCCAGCCAACGTGGAGAGGGGGGAATATATGTGGAAAAAGACAGTTAAGCGATGTATTTTTAAGCACTACATATTTATTGACAGAATCTCTCTCCAGGCGGTATTCACATGCTTCGAACTGAAGCTTTTAACTTGGCAGTGCCGTTTAAGCAAACAAACTCGGTCAGCTGAGTGCAATGATTAACAGGAAGCCAGGGAGCTGACACAGTTACCAGCCTTTGGCCGCTAGAAGAAGCTGGAGTTGAAGTCCCAGAGCAAAGGCTTGCAGAATGGTCACCGCACCCACTAGCGATTTCACTGTGCCGACAGGTGGACCCACTGGAGCCAGGACCTCCCTGAGGCAGTTTGCTTTAGTGTAGAAACAGGTGAGAGATTAATTAGCGGGACACAGGGCAGAGCGAATGCAAAGGAGCTACTTCAGAAATGTGCCGAAGAAGAGTGAAAATGCAACATAGCGGTAAATGAAAAGGGAAGGAAGAAAGAAAAAGGACAAGAACCGTCAGCCGGGAGGGTGCAGGACAGCCGATCTGAGCTGCGTCTATCGAGAGGATGATGTTGGATGCTGGAGAAAATGTAAGTTAAATCTATCCACACTCCGATCACCTCAAGAGACATTTTACTCATTTCCTGGTTTTGAATGATGGGTTCTTGGAAGCACTGTCTTTTCAGCGTGTCTCTTATTGCTGCTCTGATATTTGTCTTTGTTTACAATAGTGAGTTATGGGAGAACAAACGTTTTCTGAGGGCAGCTCTGTCCAATGCTTCCGTATTAGCAGAAGTCTGTCATCAAATTTTTAATGGGAAGGTTTTTTACTCAACAGAAAATGGATTGAAAACTACTCTCGACGAATCTACCTGTTATGAGTACATGGTTCAAAGTCATTATATAACAGAAACACTCTCTGAAGAAGAGGCTGCATTTCCTTTGGCTTACACAGTGACCATCCACAAAGACTTTGGCACTTTTGAGAGACTGTTTAGGGCAATTTATATGCCCCAGAATGTCTACTGTGTGCACCTGGATAAGAAGGCAACAGATGAATTTAAAGACGCAGTGAAACAATTGTTGAGCTGCTTCCCAAATGCTTTTCTGGCTTCCAAGATGGAGCCAGTTGTCTACGGTGGAATTTCCAGGCTCCAGGCCGACCTGAACTGCCTGCAAGACCTTGTGGCCTCCGAGGTTCCCTGGAAGTACGCCATCAACACCTGTGGGCAAGACTTCCCCCTGAAAACCAACAGGGAAATAGTTCAGTATCTGAAAGGATTTAAAGGGAAAAGTATTACTCCAGGGGTGCTGCCCCCTGATCACGCAATTGGACGGACTAAGTATGTCCACCGAGAATTATTAGACAACAGAAATTCCTATGTGCTTAAAACAACAAAATTAAAAAGTCCTCCTCCTCACAATATGACCATTTACTTTGGCACCGCCTATGTGGCTCTCACAAGGGAATTTGCCAACTTTGTCCTCCAAGACCAGCAGGCACTTGACTTACTCTCCTGGTCCAAGGACACCTACAGCCCCGACGA